CATGGGAGAAACAACGAAGGTTTAGAGAAAATACAAACAAAACGAACACTTATACCTAACATCAGGAAGAAATAGTTTAGATTTCTAGAGTAAATAATGAGGAAAGGGGGCTTTAAAATTTTGATACACACGGGGCAGATTGATGGCATTTAGAAAATAAAAATAAATAAACTAAAACAAGTAAAATAAATGAATCCAAATAAAGTAAATAATAAATAAATCAAGAAATCACTTCCGTCAAAATAACAGTTAGAATAGAGTACCCACAATGCAACAGACTACTGAAACAATGCATCACTGACCCATATCTATATAGATAGTCGAGAAAAAACACAACGTACGTGGCCTATTGCGTTTATCATGAAACAGTCTATCGCCTCTGAGTGTTGACTTCAATGTCACTTTTATACATACATACACACACACACACACACACACACACATACATATATATATATATATATATATATATATATATATATATATATATATATATATATAGATTGACTGATTCGGTCTAATGACAGTTTCCCTTGACTAGTGGACGAATGAAAAAATTTAGAATCTTGACAAATAGATTTAAAAAATATTCCATTTTAATATTTTTAAATGCAGCAAAAATTTCAAATATGTTAAGTAATTAAAAAAATATCTAATAATAATTTATATATCTCTCTCTCTCTCTCTCTCTCTCTCTATATATCTATATATATATATATATATATATATATATATATCAAGTAATTATTCGTTGGTATTAATCAAGTTAATCCTAAAAATATAAAATATTAAAACTGATCTACAAAGAAGCTCAATATATTTATTATAACAGAACATATAAATTACATAAATATAATATATATATATATATATATATATATATATATATATATATATATATATATATATATATATATTCTTGCAAACTAACAAAATTTTTTGACTCTGTTAATTTCAATTTGAGGACAGCCTTCAAGGGCTAAAAATTCATTCACTTATACGTCATTCGGGTGTAGTATCCCAAGCCTCACGAACGGCATTACCCAGTGCAGTCACACAGTAAAGAAAAACTAACCAAATTTATTTACTATTGAACACATATCCAAATATGATTCGAATTTTTTTTTTTTTTTTAAGCATTTCACCCCAAGCAAGGCGGGGAGCCACTAGGACGCAAGGGGTTACAGAAAGTAGGAAGATCAGATAGGAGTGATAGAAGAAAGGATGAGGGTAGTAGGTAGATTAAGGCAACTGGAGATGTCGATTGACATTACACTTGAATAGCTGGAGATTATAACTCTCAGGGAAACAGGAGAAGGGAAAGGAGTTCCACAGGCGAGAGGTGCGAGACATGAAGCTATTAGAGTAGAAGAGACGGCTACATTTATGAGTTTCGACAGTGAAGGGGTGAGAGCGGGATGCCAGCCTCGTAGGGCGCTTGAACTCATGAAGTTTGGGAACCAGCGAATGCAGTTCCTCGGAGCAATTTCCATGAAAGTATTTGTAGAACAGACAGAGGGAGGTGACGATGCGTCTGTGAGAAAGTGACTCCACTATTAACTTGATACAAGCCCTCGTAAATTCAATGATTCATTCAGTTAAGAGCCACAAGTAATACGTGTCATTTTATGCCATACCTGTTAAGTCCTTACTATTATTAGAAGTGTTTTCACATGTGAGTCGTTAAATATCCGGGTATCAGTTTATTACTTTATAACAATAGAAAACCGATTCCTCAATCCCACTATATAATTCTATATTAGTATTCATATTGTTAAGCTATTACTATTATCATGCTATCATATATGAGCCAATAAATATATATTTTCCAATTATTTTATTAATATGAATAATTATGGTAAGTGGGGTTAGTTTATAACTTAACAACAGAAAATATATAGACTCTACTTTCGTACTGAGCAATGTTTTTACACAAATAAAAACCAAAATACTAATGAACTTCGGATTATTTACCTAACGTGTTCTTTCCTATTTTTCTATATATTTTCACACACACACACACACACACACACACATATATATATATATATATATATATATATATATATATATATATATATATATGAAGAAATATAGTTTTAAGGTGTGCTATATTTATAGGATAAAGTGCTCAATATCGGCCTGACGATTATGGGATAAAATGATCAATAGCTGCCTGACGATTGCGTCTAGCATGAAACAGCCTGTCGCCTCTGAGTGTTGACTTCAATGTTCACTTTTACACACACATATATATATATATAGTCATCCACAGACAATTTATGCCCAATATAGAATACTACCTTAATCACACCATCAATAATGACAAGAGTCTTTGCTATTAGAAGGATTTCGTACGTGAGTCTTTAAATATAGCTTTCCAGTTAGCATATTAATATATAGTAATACTGCAGGATCGATTTATTACTTTATAACAATATAAAACCCATCTCTCAATTTATGTCCAGTGTAGAATTTTATATTAATATCCATTTTGTTAGCTAATTTATAGTTATTAGTTTTTCATATGTGAGTCATTAAATATATTTTCCAATTGTGTTAATATACAGTAGTTAAATGGGATCAGTTTATTACTTAAGCCATAGGAAAGCAATTCTGAAGATGACCAGAGAGTACTTAGTTGAAACATTGTGTCTATAATAACACTTATAAGAATCAATAGGAAAAGAATATTTTGAAATACTTACAAAGAAAATTTAATTTCAAAAGTATTCTTTTTTTCCTTCCTTATGTCGGCATTTGAGCTGGCTAGATGGAACCGTAAGTTCTATGCCAACAGTTTCTTCTCTCGCACTTCTCACTTGAGGAACTTTCTTCCAGTTCCATGCTTTCTAGTCAACTTTAATCTTCAAAAATGTAAATGCAATGTTGCTTGCTATCTACTGTCTTCCTGATTACTCTTCTATTGTTTTGGCTCCTTAGTAAGATTTCTGTTTTCTAAGTCTTCTACACTCATTAACCCCTTGTGTCTTAGTGTCTTGGCATGACTTCAATTAGAAAAACAAAACAAAAAATGATCCTCCACTTTATGTCCAATATAGACTTTGCCATAAAAAAAAGACAATATATTTTATTAAATTGTTAATATTATTACAAAGATATCATCTGTGACGGATTAAATAAAATTTTCCAAAGTTGTAATATGTGGTAATCATGGTAGGGAACCAGTTTATTACTTAATAACAACAGAAAAACAATCCCCCAATTTATGCCCAGTATATGTGAGTCTTTAAATATAGCTTTTTAATTATTATATTAATGTATAGTAATACTGAGTGGGTGAATTTATTACGTTATTATAATAGAAAACCGATCCCTCAATTTATGTCCAGTGTAGAATCTTATATTAATATTCATTTTGTGTAGTAACTTATTATTATTAGGTTTTAATATGTAAGTCGTTTAATATATTTTCCAATTGTATTAATGTGTAATAATTATAGTAAATGATCAGTTTAATACTTAATAACAATAGAAAACAAATCCCCCAATTTATATCCACTAGAATCTTATGCTAATACCTCATTATTATTATTATTATTATTATTATTATTATTATTATTATTATTATTATTGTTGTTGTTGTTGTTAGAACGCTTTCCTGTAAAAATCTGTTTTTAACCAGTTACGGGATAACTTTTCGGGACCCGTTTGTCATTTAATATATATATATATATATATATATATATGAAGAAATATAGTCTTAAGATGTGCTATATTTATGAGATAAAGTGCTCAATATCAGAGTTAGAGCGTGTGTAAATATAAAAGTGAACATAGAAGTCACCACTTAGAGGCGACAGTCTGTTTCATGCTAGACGCAATCGTCATGCTACGAGGTGGTGTTATTTTCAAGGCTGAATTTATATATACTTCTATGTTTTTATATATATATATATATATATATATATATATATATATATATATATATAAGAGAGAAAGAGAGAGAGAAGGACCATTCATTATTCAGTATAGCCGTCTACTAGTTCGGCTAGCCAATCCCTTACTGCAGACGCTTGCTCAGGCGTATTTTGTGTTTAAGGTTTCCACAAGCCAACCTGTGATTTATATGCAACTATAATTGAGCAGACTTTAGTTGAAAAAGTTTTAAAGTGCATGATCAACAATTGAAACAAGACCAGCACGCTCAAGCCTCGGCCACGATGACTACAAGTGACTTCGTGCTAAACATTAGCTATCGACGAAAGGAAAGTGTTCCGTCTACCCAATTTCATGAACAAGGCTTGGGTCAACCCGTGGTATGGTTTTCAGGCACTTTACAAAGGTGCTGCGCCCCCCCCCCAGTTCGATAACATCAAGAAGTGTCCTTCCTGACAAATTGACCATGGTGAGATTCGAACCCGGGTCTCATGATCAGAATGTGAATGCTCTAACTACTGACACCATTAATAGCAATAAAAAAAAACGATTTCTCACTTTATATATATTACACTCACAGCCAAACCTGCAAAATTTCAGTATATTTTATGTCCTTAATATATATGATAATTAAAACAGTGGCCGTAATTAACTAATTAATATCGTGAGGAAGAGGCAGACATAGAATCTCCCGAGGTGAGTATACAAAGGATAACTGAAAAAGGTTTCATTACCTAGCAACGTTAACCATCACCATAGCAACAGCAGACTTTATAACTTTGCATTCAAGGCGTATTTTCCCTTGACAACCACAAGTAAATTACTCAGGACTTCATCATTATTAATTTCTTACAAAAAACAAAAGCCACATACCCGATAGAAAAAAAAATTAGCCCTTGCACCAACCCCTTCAACTATTAATTGCTTTTATTTTGAACCCAGTTAAATGCTAGGACAGGATCGGAATGGCAGAGAAGATGGCCAAAAAATAATAATAAAGCGGTTGAGTTTTGTTTTCACAACACCATGCTGAGCACAATCCGACGGGCTGGTCAGCGGCCATGTTTACTTTTGACCACTTAAGCAGGGTCGATTCTTCACTAGGTGTGGATAAAGACGGCTCTCCAAACAGCCTCGGCAGATGTATGGTGGGGTGGGGGCGGTTTTCGAAAGAAAAACGAAAAGAGAAAAAACAAACAAAAAAAAAATCTAGAAGAGATGAAGAAATAAAAAGAAAAGAGAAAAAAAGGAAAATGATGAATAAAAGAAGAATCGATCAAAGGAAATGAAAAAGAAAGAAAAAAAAGAAAAGGAAGATCGGAAAGAAGGAAGGAAGGAAGAATCGAGAAGCGAAAATCAGAAAAAAGAAAGAAAGAATCGTAAGAAGGAAATAGGAGAAAAAAGAAAGAAAGAAAGAAGAAAATGAGGAATAAAAGAAGAACCGCGAGATGGAAATAAGATAGAAAGAAAGAAAAAGAGAAAGGAAGAAAGAAAAAAGAAAGAAAGAACAAAGAAAGAATCGTGAGAAGAAAATCGGATTCTTTTAAAAGAAAAGAATCAGTCGGAGGATGGGAATCAAAAAAAAGGATAAAAAAATCTCGCGAATGAAATAAGAAAGAAAAAAGAAAGAAAAAAGATTAAAAAAAATTGAAAGAAAAGAAACCCAAAGAAAGAAAGACAGATTCCTGGAAGAAAATCGGAAATGAAAAAAAAAATTAATTGGGGATGGAAATCAAAAAAGAAAGGATGAAGAAATTTTTGAATAAAGAAAAGAAAGAAAAAAGAAATTTAAAAGAAAGAAAGAATTAAAAAAAAAAGAAAAGAAAGAAAGAAAGAATCCTGAAAGAAAACCAGAAAGAAAGTAAGAATCAATTGGGGGATGGAAATCAAAAAGAAAGTAAGAGAGAATAGCGAGAATGAAAAAAGAAAGAAAGAAAGAGAATGAGAAGAAAATCGGAAAGAAAGAATTAATCGGGGGGATGAAAATCAGAAAGAAACAAAGAAACAAAAAGAAAGAAAGAAAGAAAGAAATAAAAGAAAGAAAAAGAAAGAAAGAAAGAAAGAAAGAAAGAAAGAAAGAAAGAAAAAAATAAAATAAACCAGGCGATAATAAATAAAGTTAAAAATGAGACGAGAGGAAAATGAAAAAAATTACCAAATATAAGAAATAAAATATCCCAAGCAAAAACAAAGAAAGGGAGAAAAAAAAAAAGATGATGAGGAAAATTAACGATTTCGTTTGTTTAATTTGAAGGACAAAAACTATATCGACTGAAGACTCAGTGATTACAAGGCAACAAACAAATAAAAACAAAAATCAAACTCATTTGGACCCGAAAATAATTCCGATAAGTAAGTGTGTTTTATGTCTGCCGTAATCCTATCATGTAGATTAGCAAAAGGCAGAATAAAATAAGGAAGATATTTTGAAATTCAAAAATTTTAGAAAATAATAAGTTTGAGCCTTAGTAAGAAAACTTTAGTAACACCTAGACAGGGAAATAAAAGAAAGCGGGAAGAAGGGACTAAACACCAATTGTGAGAAGACAGAACCTATGGTCCTATCTAAATGGGAGAGCCCAACATGCGAATGATAAATTGGAAACGTAAAGTCAAACTACAAAAATTAAAAAAATTTTTCACAACAGAATATATATATATATATATATATATATATATATATATATATATATATATATATATATATATATATTCAAACATATATTGTTAAATATAAAAGAGCAAATGTCTGTTATGTTTTTATTATGAGCCTTTCCAAGCGTCGTATAATGGCTTTAGTTTCAAGAGAAAATAAAGACTAAAACTGTCCAACATTTGGATATTTTTTTTATTATATTGGTCGTTGATCTAAGCTTTCGGCTCACATCAGCTATCATCAGAGTAGTTATATAGACATTACAACAGATATGTTCACCATCAAAGATGACATCCTGTTTTTTTTTTTTTTTACATAGAAGTTTGCTATGTGACGATAACGGTCGCGGAATAGCAGACGCAGGTCGTAAATTCGTAATGCGGTTCTATGACGTCGTACATGACCACGTGAGAGAAAGAAATATTAACAACAGAACCCTATGTCTAGATGCAATGTAATGCGTTGTGACTAGTTTGAAATGTAATTTTGTTGAGTGTCGGTTGCTTTGTTATAATATAGATGGTCTCCAATATCTGAAGGTTCTTTTTACTGTGTGTAGGTTTGAGAGTTATTGTGTTATCAACTAATATCTGTCTAATCTGATGTATATGGCTATGTTTTTCAAAGAAATGTCGTTTAATAGAAGTAAGATCAGAAAGGTGACAGGCAAGTCTACGGCAGAGATTCAATTGACGGCCAATATAATAAAGAAAATGCAAATGTTGGAGAGATTTTGTCTCTTGAAACTGAAGCCATATTACGACGCTTGGAAAGGCTCATGACAAAACATAATAGACATTCGTTTTCTATTATATTTAACAATATTTGTCTAAATATATATATATATATATATATATATATATATATAATTATTTATTTAAAATATGATTCCAAATCGCGACATAAGAGGTCTCATGTTTTTCAAAACAAGAGCCGAAAACTTCAATATAATTATTTGAATTAAATTGAGTTTAAAGTAAGCTCTGTTCCATCTTCAAGCGAAATTTTTTTTTTTTGGAATAACGTATTTCTGAAATTTACGTGTTTTAATAATTGAAATCAAAATTTCCATGGTAACAGCTAGGGCGAATTGTTTAAGTTGGGTAGGCGGGTGTTGGGTGTTAATAATAAGTATCAGTATAGAGTTACTTTCATAGATGTCAAGTCAGGGGAAAGGTGGGGGTGTCTAAATTTGAAACGGAAGATGTATTAACCCTAGTCTGGTTTGCGTGTCTATGGAGATTTATTTATTTTTTTTTTTTATTTTTTTTTTTTTTATGAAAGGGATTTGTGCATATAAAAAAAAAAAAACTGCCGTAACGTTTGTTTTTGACGACTTCTTCTTTTTAAAGGGTTAAACTATTTATTTTTTGTGAAGGGGTTATATTTAAACTATTTAGTTTTGGGCATGAATGGATTATGGATTAAAAAGTTATTATATTGTATGCTTTTTTTTAGCTAATTATTCAAACCAAAATCTGATGATGTCGACAAAAAACCGTTAACTCATGTCTATTGTTTAATAGATTATTATTATTTAGAAACTTAATAATGTGCAATTTCTCATAGAGGCGCAAAGGGCATGGGTCATCCCAAGTTTTACATGTTCTAGCCCTGTTTATAATTTTCCATTTTACTTTAGGTGTCCTATTTGTTTCCTTCAGATGCCAAAAATATTTAGATAGGGAAGTCTGATTTCTTTTATTTATATTATTGAAAGAGCACTTATGCTGCCTCCATCTATCTTTAAAATCATTCTTCGTGGACCCAATGTATATCATATTAGTGCTAGGACTCTCAGTGGATGATATAGTACATTGGTATACCACAGATTTAATGCAGCATTTATTTTCTAATGGGCAGTCTTCTAGGTTTCTACAATTACATAATTTTTCCCTTTTATTGTCTGATTTAAGTGCAGGGTTTTTATTAATACTATTCAGGCATGGGGGTTTGTTCAAGATCTTATTATTGTGTTTTTTTATTATACGTTCAAGATTTTCAGAGCAGCTGTAACTCAATTTTAGGGTGTTCTTATTGAATGTATTACTAAGCTTAAGTGGGGAAGTGTTTATCAATTAGAGCTAAGAATTTCTGTCCTAGTTTAATATTAACCATTTGGTTGAACGGAGGGGTGTACCAAATGATTTTTCTTTACCTGTTTTTTTTTTCTTATGGCCAGTGCAATTGTCTCTATATTTAATGTTAGCATTTTTATAACCACTATTTTTTAGGGCAATGTTATAGAAGCCATTGTGTTTGTTGGAATATTTCCTTGTTAACGGAGTTAATGCTAATTCTATTTTCTGTTGACGAGGGTATATGTTTAATTATGGATGGAGGGTGGTTTGACTTCGGGTGTATATATAAAGGGTTAGCATTTGGTTTTCTATAAGGTTGGTATGTGTTGCCTGGTAAGTCTAGAGTTACGTCGAGCAAGTTTAGCCTTTTCAAATTAGAAGAGACAATTATCTTTAAGTTTAGTTTTTTAAATTCACTAAATATATTTTTTCTGATTTTGTCTATCTTAAAACTAGTTGAACTCTTCACCACCATGAGCCCGTCATCTCTATACAGTCCGATGTCCTTAATATCAATTTCGCGGTGTGCCGTTAAGTTGTACATAAATAGAAGACCAACAAGGTCAGAAGACCTCGAGAGTCTAATGATCCCATAGTGATATCAAACAGGTCGTTATTGTTTTTTATCCATTGGTCCATTATTATGAATGAGGGATTTTTTATTTGCTGAGGATTATATCTGTTTCTTCCTTTGTCAGGGTAGAAATACACAGCAAAAAGTCCAGGGCAGTCATAAATAGATCCTTAAAAATTTATATATATATATATATATATATATATATATATATATATATATATATGTGTATGTGTGTGTGTGTGTGTTGTGTATTTTCATGCAGCATTCCTTTTATACACGTTTCGTTAAAAACGACTCTGTTGTACCACTATTTTTTTTATTTAATTTTTCTTGTGTTCGAACAAGTGTTTTCTTTTCTGGACACAAAGTCTGTAAAAAGTATCCAAATGTTCTGTATTTCATAATTGCATAATAATAACAACCAACAATTACGTTTCAATCTCCACCTTAACTACATATATATATATATATATATATATATATATATATAATTTCAGAAATGAGAGCATTTTTTTTATTTGGTTGGTGTCATCACTACCTTTAAAAAAATTTTATTTAATGGCCTTCCTCAGGGAAACATCGATCTGGGTAACCAAAATGGGATTCAGAACTGAATTCTTTATTTAATCTACAAGAATAATCTCGTCTAATTCTTGTCTTATTTAGTAGTGTTCTGTTCTTACTCACACGTTTCTACTAAGTACCAGAAAACACTGCCCGATCCAGGAATTGAACCTACAACCACTATGACACTAAATTCTAAAAACATCGCTTTTATTCACGTTGTCCCGTAGATGAAATAAAAGGTTCAGAATTCCCATGTAGGTTACCCAGATCGATATATACCTGAGAAAGGCCGGAGAGCACAACGGCCGACACGTTTTGTTAACAACAACCGAGTTGAAGACAATAGTCCGAATATATATAGTGTAAATAATGATAACCCCACATCCCAGAAATGAATTCCCTGTAGGTTACCCAGATCAATATACACCTGAGGAAGGCCGAGGATACAACGGTCGAAATGTAGTGATAACAACAACAAAGATGAGGACAATAGTCTGAATATAAATAGTGTCAATAATGACAACTCCTCATCTCAGAAACGAATTAACTGTAGGTTACCCAGCTCGATATATATATAGTGTAAATAATGATAACTCCACATCCCAGAAATGAATTCCCTGTAGGTTACCAGATCAATATACACCTGAGGAAGGCCGGAGGATACAACGGCCGAAATGTTGTGATAACAACAACAAAGATGAGGACAATAGTCTGAATATAAATAGTGCAAATAATGATAACTCCTCATCTCAGAGATTAATTCCGTGAAGGTTACTCAGATCGATATAGACCTGATGATGGCCGGATGGCATATGACCGAAACGTTGTGATAAAAACAACAAAGATGAGGACAATAGTCTGAATATAAATAGTATAAATAATGATAACTCCTCATCCCAGAGATTAAATCCGTGAAGGTTACCCAGATCGATATACACCTGATGATGGCCGGATGGCACATGGCCGAAATGTTGTGATAGAAACAACAAAGATGAGGACAATAGTCCGAATATAAATAGTGTCAATAATGATAACTCCTCATCCCAGAATTGAATTAACTGCAGGTTACCCAGCTCGATCTACACCTGAGGAAGGCCGGAGGATACAACGGCCGAAATGTTCTGATAACAACAACAAATATAGGGACAATAGTCTGAATATAAATAATGTAAATAATGATAACTCCTCATCCCAGAGATTAATTCCGTGAAGGTTACCCAGATCGCTATACACCTGATGATGGCCGGATGGCAAAACGACCGAAACGTGATAAAAAACAACAAAGATGAGGACAATAGTCCGAATATAAATAGTGTCAATAATGATAACTCCTCATCCCAGAAATGAATTAACTGTAGGTTACCTAGCTCGATATACACCTGAGGAAGGCCGGAGGATACAACGGCCGAAATGTTGTGATAACAATAACAAAGATAGGGACAATAGTCCGAATATAAATAGTGTAAGTAATGATAACTTCTCATCCCAGAAATTCAGAAAAAATTATTAAACAATGTGTATCACGTCTAAGTGTTTCACATTGTGAACACTGGCGTCCCTTGCCGGCTCTATAATGTTGGGGGCACTGGGAGTTTTTATTTCGTTTAGAGGATGCTGAACGTACTCGGGGCGGGGGTATTTATCTGTCTTTTATTTAAATTTTCAAAAATTATTCAATATTGGCTACAAAAGGACATTTCTAAAAACCATCTAAAATTGTAGGAAGTTATCAATTTTTTCTTTATTGCTTTTCCAACTTCTTATATGACTGAATGTAGTTTCAACGCAGTTACACAGCTTTTTACTAAACGAAGAAATCGACTCCAAATTAGAAAACGAGATCTGTGATTACTTTTAAGCTGCATGGACCCTAGAGTAAGAGAGTAAGCACCAGTCAACCATCGTATTGAAAAGGTTGAGATAAAACCTATCAAACAAAAGAATTTTTAGCATTTTAATCATTGGCATTTATAATAGAAATGTAAACAATATTAAAATTATTTTTAATAAGTGTTATCTTGCTATGAAAGATGAATTCGGTATAATATTCGAAATTTAATTTGACATAGGAGGGATCGTTGACAAAAACGTTTTTGTCCAAAGGAGGCGTTGGTTGAGAAAAGGTTAAGAAACACATGGCTATGGCAATACAAACTGGCCTGCAAATTACAAAACAAGGAGATTTACGATTACTTCTAAGCAACATGGAACCTAGAGTAATGGCCATAGGCAGTAAGCACCAAAGTTAACTATTGCATTGAAAACATTGAGATAAGCTATCAAATGAACCTAGAGTAAGAGACTCAGCCAGTAAACACCAAAGTCAATCATCGCATTGAAAATATTGAAATAATTTATCAAATAAAAGTTTTTTTTAGCATTTTAATCATTGGCATAGAAAAGAAAGCAATATTTTTTGCATTAATACCTAAGTGTTATCATGCTATAAGAGTTCATTTTAGTATAATATTCGAAATTCAATTTGACAGTGTTGTGGGCGTTGACAAAAAATTTTGTACCCAAAGATGGCGATGGTTGAAAAAAAGTTGAATGACACTGATCTCAGATTTCTCAAATGTGCAGGCCAGTAGATGTTGAAGCGTATTTAATACAACTATGGAGCGTATTTAATACTGTAACTTACTTGTAAAATCGGCATGGTATAAATACTCATGGTGTCTGATTAGATTCTTTAGCGTCTGACAGGGTCTATTAGTTTGAATCTTCCAATCTAGCTAAATGAGAAAGCACAGACTAAAATACTTTGGATTAGGCTTAAAAGAAAAGATATAATGAGATTTTTTTATCATTATTTTCCTTTCTTTTTAATTTCGTTCCGTTTTTGTGTAGATTCTTTTTAGCTCGGTTTTTTGAAGCAACCCAACATGGAGGAAAACGTAGCGAGTTTGTAAGCCTCCTCCCGGCTTCGAGTTTTAAGTCTTGATTAATTGTGTAAACAGGGAGACACTGTGAAAACACGTGAAGTAGTGTTGAGATAAGAGCGGGTAAGAAAGAAGGGGACAAATGAAAAGGTGACGGGGAACTACTGGAAAGAAGACATACGTAAAAATATATATCTATATAAATAAATAAATAAATATATAAATAAATAAATAAATAAATAAAGGTATTTGTGCGAAAAAAAAAGCCGTAAAAAGAAATAGCTATTAATAAGAGACGGGAAGAGATTATGAGAGAGTGGAGAAAAATTACAGATATAGCCTTTTTTTTTTCTTTTTTTAAAAGAAAGAAAGAAAAAAGGAAAGAAAGAAAGAAACAAAGAAACAAAGAAAGAAAGAAAGAAAGAAGGTAACTGAAAAATAGAAAAAGATGAGAAAATAAAATAACTTAGGCAAAGAACAGAGTAGGGACTATTACTTATCATGCAATTACAAACTGACCAAATATACTGAACTTCCAAGCGTAGCTTAGATGTGGCACAAGGCCTAAAGAAAAGAGCACCCAGTGAGACAAGCTTGCTAACCATTACACAGCCTCAAGTTGCCTATACTAACTGACCAAATATATGCATAAACAAGTCGCTCTTTTAGTTACCGTGTGACTTCAGGACATAAACGGTTATGGCTCTCCACAACTTCTTTCTGTTGTTGCTCTAAATAGTATCTGACTATGCACACCTAGTCCTGCTTTTCTATTCACTCATCCAAACGCATTCGCTGATTCTCTCTGTCCTTTTTTCGTTCAATACATCCTGTGAGTGTCAAATTTTCCAAGCTCTCTTTCCTCATTATGTATCTCAAAACTTTCAACTGTGTCTTTCTAATTTGAAGTATGAGTGAGCTAGTTCATATTATCTTTAAAAGGAAATCTAATTGCTTACATTGTTTTAAATCATTTCACCACAAGCAAGTAGATAAAGCCACTAAGACGCAAGGGGTTATTGAGTGTTATATAATATGCGAAAAAAAAAGATTATTAATGATAGATATCAACAAAAGAATAGGAAATAAGAAGGCAGAAGATAACGATTAAATTAAAAAAAATAAAGTTGCCTGGAAATCAAGAAACCGGAAAATATTTCCACAAGCAAGAAGTGCGAGAGAAAGAAAAAACAGAAATTACGGTTATATCAAATCAATTCAAATGTAAGATGATGAGATCTAACTGCAAATTTGGTACTGCGCTTAAATTTAAAAGTCTAGGTACTATAGAGGAAGTATTTATTTTGAAAAATACAAAATCTAGCACAAGGCTAAAAGTGCGAGATACGCGAAGGCTTCATTTCAGTGGGAAAACTTAGTCTGAGATGGCGTAATAAATCATTCTCTTAGCGGTTAGCATCAGCTATGCTGAGGGAATTCTAAAAAATATTGACCAGCCATCATCTAAGAAATTCTGGTATTATATCTAACACTACTAATAAAATGAAGCGCGTGAGGAATCAGATGAAAGGAATATTTGTCAAAAATCAGTACAAATTGAGAATGATTTATCGGAGAATTTTTTTTTTTATTGCATCGAATGATATTAATGTATTAAAAAAGCAAGAGAAGTGAGATGAAATACTAGTCAAAACTGATAATAATCGACAATGCTTTATCTAATAAACTATTTTACTACATCTAATACAGTATTTCTCAACTGTTTTTTCCTTGTGGTCCATTTTTGGGGTCCAAGAAATTTCAGGCCCACGTTAGCACAAATAGAAATTTCTTACAATTGGAAATATATTTTAATTTACAAAACTAAAATGTAGTAGAACATACAAAATGGAAATAAAGTCAAAGTTAATTACAATAAGAATTAAAACAAAGCAATTAATCAACAGTCGAGAAATTTATTATTCAAATGGTTCTGGTTAATTCCGGTTAATAACAATAAAATGCTATCGTAAACAATAGTAAATTAATTACCGATACTGTTCGATCTGCAAGCCACCTGCTTCAATGCTTTGCTTTTTTATTATAAATAACTGTATAGTGACTTTATTGCCACTGTATAAATCCTGTCTTATATTAAACTTAGCAAGCCATGATTTCTGACCCAGACATACGATAGTATTCCTTACACCAACGTAACACATTCTTACTTAACATTCCTACTACAGTCACCATAATACCTCTATGTCTCTATGAAGTCCTAACTAGTTTCCATATATACAATTTGTCTGTTGTCGTGGGGGAATAAATATAACACCTTTTAAAAATGAAATTCCAATGAATATTTACAACGATTAAAATAGAGGAAAATTCATCAGA